ATCACTCAGTGTATCTTTTTTCCATAGTAACATCAACACCAAGATGTTTGTCATTTTGTTCTTTGCTGAACTTCCAACATCTGTAACAGTGTTGAACATGTAAAAAAGATGCAAAACAAGTGAATGCATGAATTGTTAATGAATTTAAGTTGGATAGCCTATGGAAAGAAATGTATGATCCATGCTTAGAAGCAGAAACACACCCAAGAAGATTTTCAGGAATTAATATGTATAATTAACCAAGATTCTTATTTGTTCAAAAAAAGATTTTGGAAGAACACTTCTTAAAAGAAAATAATCTCATTTTGGATATGGTTAGATTTCTTGATTGGGGTGTACTAAATCAGAAAGTGTGAATTTGATTTCCCACCTTAGGTTAAGTTTCTTTATTAAATGGTTGAAAACTCTGGTCAAATGCTACTCAAAGCAATATATTTAGTTTATTAGACATCTTAATGTAGAGGGAAAGTCTCAAAAAGTTCAGACATTAGAGGACATAGTAGGGCAACAGCATGAATCCAGCCCTCTTTCCTTCCAATACCTCAAAATAGATATTTATTATTTCTCCTTTGATCCTGGCTATAATATTGGTAAACTTCTAATACAAACTAGTAAGAAATTCAGTTGTAGGCTTTGCTTTCTTCATCTAGAATGCTTGGAATCTAGAGTGCTGGAAATGCAACCGAGGCTTTGATTGAAGCAAGCCTCTTCACCTTGGCAGGAAAAGAAAATCCATTTCTCAGGCCTAGGACAGGCAAGCTGTTCACTGAACTACCTCACCTGTTAACCCAAAAAAAGAGACCACGTAATGAAAATTTCTTTTTACTTGTTAAAAATAGCATTTCATGCCGGGCGGTGGTGGCGCACGCCTTTAATCCCAGCACTCGGGAGGCAGAGCCAGGCGGATCTCTGTGAGTTCGAGGCCAGCCTGGACTACCGAGTGAGTTCCAGGAAAGGCGCAAAGCTACACAGAGAGACCCTGTCTCGAAAAACCAAAAAAAAAAAAAAAACAAAAAAAAAAATAGCATTTCATTACACAGGGCATAGGGAAAGTCAACACTTTGATTGTGCCACAATGTAATTCACGAGGTTATCAATTCCCTCAACCACTACATACTGTAATTGTCTAAAACATTTATAAAATCAAGTTGATATGAGTTCACAGTTTGGAAAAAACATGTATTCCTGGCATATGGTACACCATGGGAGATAAATGTGCAAATCTAAAGACGTTTGTGAGAAATGAAGGCAGCCTGACAGCACTCAATAGACCTTAACTATCACATGTGCCCACAGTTAGGAGATCTAAAGAGTTTTCCTCTGTAAGACAAATTAGATAATTTTTTGTAAATCTTTACTGCTTACTATATGAACTCTCAATGTGTCACTGATATGTCCTCCTCATACACAAACTGCCTGTATTCTTTCCAAAGAGTGTTTTTGAATAATACTAATTCATTGTCATTAGATAGATCTTACTTGACTTGGTGAGCACCATAATAGATGATAGATAAACAGATAGATAGATAGATAGATAGATAGATAGATAGATAGATAGATAGATAGATTAAACAGGTGATTGATAGATGACAGACAGATAGAGGGAGAGTGAGGACATCTATCTGTCCCCTTTATTGATTGTTGTGAGGTTTTTCCTTCCCTCTGAAATGATGTCCAGTACTACACATTTAGACATAATATTCAATTTGTGATGCTGGCAATTTTAAAGATAGGCCCAATAATTCTGAGCCCCCGAAAATAAGAATAATGTCTACATATCTCCTGGTAATACAGTTCTTATGAGTGAAACTGACAATATATGAACAATTGTTCTTATGTTCTTATATTCAAGTTTGTGTTCATTTTTCACAGTTAATTTTCCTGATCCCTCAAGACCTGGGATTTGTGACAACATTCCCCCTATAGTAAATAATAAATTAGGTATTTTATAAACCTGACACTAGAAAGGTAGCTTGACATATTACAAGCTCATTTGTGTTTTAATGTCAACATGTACAGCACTTGGAGATCCCCACCTTCCCTATATACCTGTATTTTCAATGAAGGTTCAAATAATTTTCTCATGAAAAGGTGGAGCCTTGCACGCTATAACTAGATTTCATACTTGTCACAAGTAGGCAAATCCAGTGATGCTTGGAGATTCAAGTGCCAGAGAGATTATTGTGGGAATTTAAGGAAGCCCCAACAGAGGATTCAAAGTAATGTTTTTGAGTCTCTGTTTCAGCTACAGGCTTACCACACAACAGCTGACATACTCAAAGGAGCAGTGTATCAAGAGGAGGTTTCACAAGGGGTCATACTGTAACCAAAGACAATCTTTGTTTCTCCTATGCATGAAGAAATAGGGAGGAAGGGAAGGAGGCATTGATAAAGCACAGAGAGAGACACAAATACTAACTACGCACATACACAGAGACAGACAGACAGAGAGACAGAGACAGAGAGAACCTAATAGATGCCAAGAATTAAATTCTAAGGATACAGCTGAGGCCTAAGCCTCTCCATCTACCTATTTTACTGATCTTTCCTTGAGAAATACTCAGAGATAAATTCTCTGTTATGTTCCTCTCCAACAGAGCTAACAAGACGTGAAGTCATTTTAGGACGGTGTAGTCCCACTGTTTTTACAACTCTCTTCACACCTAAGGATAACAGTATCAAACCTTCAGGATCACTTGGAAAGTTGGGGGATCTGCATAATATGCTGAGCAAAGAACCTCTCTGTTCCATGGGAAGTTGTATTTTTTATCAGGGTACAAGCAAGGCTGCTTTGCATCTTCCCAAATATAGGATGGAAATCTGTTTTTTAAGAGTTTGAGGAAACGAAGTTGGCTTCCTTACATTTCTCTTCCCATCTTTCAGTAACAATGAACTTTGAAATATCATTGATAAAAAATGGGGACATTTAAGGAGAGGGCACTTTCTTGGCACTATATACAGTGAGTGGCAGTCTGTTATTTTCCTGTTTGTGAGCACCATTGATTTGGTGAACAGTTTCTTATACCAGTTCAGTGCTTCTGTGCACTTAACATCTTAACAAGATGTTAGAAGTTCTCAGAACCTAAGAAGAGTTGAATGTGTATCGGGGAGTTGTTATATAGTATCCTGAGAGTCCTGGTTGACATGGCAGAGAACTCTGCCTGCTTGGATTCCTGCCTTGTCCTGTGACTAAAGGAGCATGTCAATAGTTATTTTCAGGGCTGCCTTTCCCTTGGGAGATTCTGTTCTAGTTCACCTTAATTCATTATTGATTCATGGCCTATTGCTTTTCTTACATGATGATGACTGACAGAGTTAATCTGGAGTCTAACAAAATTTACCGCAGACTCTTTCATCATCCCACCCTTTTGTAATATGCTGTCAAAACCCCACTTGAGACATTGCCTTTCTATCCTCTTTTCCATCCATCCCCATGAATACCTTTTCCTATTAAGGCCAGCACATAAAAGGACTACATTTACTATTCATGTTTCTGTCAGTTGTGCTTTACAGGGTACTCTGATTTTATTAAGCACCAATACCTAAGATGCCTACAAGTTTATCTTTTTTAAGTTCTCCACTGGCAGCTGGCTTTGACTTGGTGCTGAAATAGACTTTTCAGCATTCCTATGCTGTGGATGTCTTCCTGTAGGCTGTGAATATGTGTTGCTCTGATTGGTTGATAAATAAAGCCATTTGGCCTGTGGCAAGGCAGCTTTGAGGCAGATGGAAAATTCAAACAGACAGACAGGAAGAGAAAGGAGAGGCAGAGAGACACCATCTCGTCATCCAGGGAGCAGCATGTAATGGGACACAGGTAAAGCCACAGAACATGTGACGATACATAGATAAATAGTTATGGGTTAATTTAAGATATAAGAGCTAGCTAGCAAGAGGCATGCCATAGACTATACAGTTTGTAAATAATATAAGCCTCTGTGTGTTTATTTGGGACCAAGCAGCTGCGGGACATGGATGCAAGAGATTCATCTCAACCACAGGGCTGGGGCAGGACCAGAGAAATCTTCCAACTACATTCCCAGCTCAGGTGGAGTCTTGGACAAGATGACCTGCATAATTTAGCTGCTGATACCTTTGGCTGCACATCACAGCCACATGTAATTAGCTGTTTTGTGGCTATCCCATGATATGCAGAGCTACCATCTCTGAAAATGGGTTTGTAATCATCTTGTTAGACAGGTATCTGCTTATCGAATCTGATTATGTCAAGACTTCATACCACACTCAGCAACTTTCTGGAGACTTTGTTTCCTGAAAGGCAGAAACTTGAACTTGTCTACTCAACACTGTACTTTGATGTCAGCAAAGGAGGGAGCCCTCAAACTCTTTGGGATTTGTGGTATATAACAGAGTACAATTCTTGGTTTCTGGAAACTCTCAGTTTGCATTTTGTCCCTATGGTCTTGATCTGTTTTGTATCAAGCTAGCCCAAACTCATTTAATGGATGAACCTTCCTCTCTTGCATTAAACACTAGACTAATTGAAGCCTTATTGAAATTTGTTGAATTCCTTAATGAATTACTCAATACTGATACAAATCAAGAATCTTTTATCTAAAGTGTTTGGAATGACATGTACCAGATTTGATTTTTTTTTAACTTCATAATTTGGATGAGATGTCTCAGGAATGGGATCTGCCACTAAACACTGGTTTGTTTCTTATACACCTTGTACACATAATCCCAGGTAAGTGTATGCAATACTTCTGTGTGCCTGCATTTCTGCTCTGAGTCTTCCCCAGAGCCATGGGTAGACGTTTCCATGTGTGAGGTCAGTTCTGTGCACAAAAATGTTGGGGCTTTGGTGCACGTCAGATTTGGTGTTTAGGGGTCCTTAGTCTGTACAATTTACCCAAACACAAAAGAAAAGAAAAAAGAAGGAAAACACTTGAGTAACGTTTGTGCCCATAAGGAATTTAACTAGCTTGCATGATGGACTTTCACAGCATGGCTGACAAAAGGAGAATTACAATATGAAATTACTGCACACAAAGCACCTTTTATTCAGCATCAATTTGATTTATTTCCCTAGATTTTTTTCCCTCAGGTGGAAAAATGATTTCATCAAGAAACCAAAGTTTCTGCCAAAGTGAAAGAGTGTCATATTTTAATGCTTTTCTTATAAAACAAAAATCAACATTGCACTACATCATTGTTTTGCCTTTCTCCTTCTCTTGATTTGCTAATTTTTAAAGAAAACATCCACCAGCAGAAAACAATGTATTTCTCTCCAATAGAATGATTATATTTTATTGCTGCTTTGTTTAGTATATGTTTTTCTCAATTGGGAAAAAAAGGTCTAGGTGAAAATCTATCTAGCAAGAGAAGTAGTTTACATTGTTGTAACATTTAAATTGCTGCCCAAGGGGGGAAAATGCAAAAAAAATTAAAGAAAAAATGATTTAAATGTGAAACATCACATAACTTCAAAAAAACTTACCTCAATTGCCTACCACCTATCACATACTACAGCTCAACTTCCTAAAAAGTATTACAGTCCTTTATTATAAGCCCCTATTGGGTCTATGGTATACATTTAAAAAAAAAAAAACGCTACTACAAAAAAATTTCTTTTCTCTGTTTTTTTTTTCCTGTCACATACTTAAGCTACAGATAATGGTTGAATAAAAAGCCTACAGCAGGTATAAATGTAATAGTTAACTATCCTGTTTGCTGATGTTCTTTTCCTGATCCACGGAAGGTGGCATCTTTTAATCCAGCATCTTCTCCTGCTTCTTGCCTTCCTTTTTCTTCTTCTTTGATTCTGCTGCAATTTAAAAGAAAAAGAAAACAGCATCAAGGCACTAATCTATGAAAAGGATGCCAATTTTCTTATAACTGGCCAAGATCAACACACAAGATGTTTGCTCCTGTGATGTTGCCAGTATGTGTGCATGTGTACAAACAAGAGTTGGGGGAGTATCTATAAGAACAGGCAAGAAGAACACAGCCTATCTATGTGAATAGTTAAACGTGCTTGTTACCATGTTGGTTGCCTCCATTTGGAATGTCAAACATGTTTGAGGATCCTGCTTAGAAAACATATGTAGCAGGCTGGCCTCTCTTAGGAATAACCCAGGCCTCTTCTTGATGGAATGCTTTAGTAGCCTTGCTTAGTTTCAATGCTTTCACAGTCCCTTCAACTGGAAATGTTCATTAGCATTCACTTTTTTTTTCCTTTTAAGCAAACAGTTCCAACGTGCATCTAGTCTGGATCTTGACAGCTGCTAACATATTCAGGCAGCTCTTTATAGTAAAACTATGGACCATATAGTATATAGTCCAAGGGAGCTTTGTCTAAAGGATCATACAGAGTTGAATAAATCAAACAGAGGGTATCAACCCCCTTTATACTGAATCCACTCATAAACCCATTAGGAATTATACCAAATGGTTCCATTCTTTTCTTTTCAATCTTCTTACTATCTCTCTTTTACTGATATGAGAACATAGTGAGTCACATTTGGAAGGTTAACATTGCTTTCTTATTTTTAAGAATGAGACCTGAATTAACTCTGTGGATAAAGTCAGTTTCATTTCAGTAGTCTTTCAAAGTGACCATAAGACAAAGCTTTAGTATGATCATGAGGGTCCCCGCTTGATCTAGGGTAGAACTTCACTTGGTAAAGCCAAGTGCTTTATAATAGTCATGCAGTGGCCACTCTGCAAAGCATTAAAAGCCAGGAGGATCCAGACACTGATGTGTAACAATAGGGCACCTTAGTTCACATTGAACAGAACCAAGTGGTATGACATACCAAATGTTAACTCAATCCCCAGGCTCCCCATCTCTTTCTCCATCCTGCACTGAGACTGTGAAGCAGACATGCTTGCCAGGAAATGAGCAACTGTGAGACATGCAAGAGGAAGGGCTGCCTCTTGGAAGAATGTCTGCTCTGTCCCTTCAGTGATACCTAAGGGACATCCCTGATCCAGACATTTTAAATGTATTATGGGCTCATGTAGACAATATAGAGACATGCATACATCATGGCTACACACTGATGTTTTAGCTCCCTAGGTTTGTAAACTTTCATCCTTTCCTTAGCCAATGACTAAGTTCATAGAGGATGATGCTCATAGTTGGGTTGCAGACACAAGATGGTTGTAGTTCTGTAGAAGTTAGCACAATTACATTAGAGATGCTATTGTATTTTCAATATGTTGGAAAGTGTTTCTAAAGTCCTGAGACTTTCTAACAAAACAGTAAAATTCCAAATGCCTCCTATTGCTATAAATCATGAATATAAGCTTCATCATTATTATGGTCTCCAAGAACCAGGGGAATTATTGTAAAGAATAGCAACTACCCGATGTTGTCCACTGTGTGAAGATGTATTGCTGTGATTGGTGTAATAAAGTGCTGAATGGCCATTAGCTAGACAGGAGAGGATAGGTGGGATTTTATGGGAAAGAAAGGAAGAGGAGGAGGAATCTAGGCATGAGCAATTCACCACGGAGATGCAGAGGAAGGCAGGATGTGCAGTACGGAGATGAGGCAAGAAGTCACATGGCCAAACATGAATTGAAAAATATGGGTTAATTAAGTTATAAGAGCTAGTTAAAACAAAGTTTAGCTAAATGCCAAGCTTTCATAATTAATAATAAATCTCCTTGTCGCTATTTGTGAGTTGGCGGTCTGAAAAAAAAAAAAAAAAAAGCCAAACTACAACTACCAGCAGGAAAGACAAAGGAAATAAGAATGGGGAGGAATTATATGAGCTGTATAACAATCCATCCTGGGCCCATTTTCTTCATGCAGAAACATTGAGACTTTTATTAAGAGCATACTAAAAAGCAAGTGCCAACTTGCAGCATTGCTTCCTGCCACTGCCTGACATAAATAAGCCCTGTGTTGGGGAAATCAGTCAGTCTGCATTTGTTTTCTGCCAATTGGTAAGAATAAAGCCTGCATCCTCATGGAGGAATACAGGGAGTACCTTGTGAGATGATGGCCCCTGAGATCCCACTTCACTACAACTGCCTCCCAAACATCCATTTATTCAGTGAGAAATAAATATGCATGCCATCTCCACTATAGATCAGATGCAGCTTGAGATTCTCCTACATAAAAGTGAAAGGTGAAAGGAACAAACTGTGTCTTCAAAGAGTTGGCATCACAAAAAATCCAAAGAGAAATGTTTTCAAGATTGTTCTACATATATATTTCTATATATTTTTAAAGTATTCTAAAGGCCACGCTTATGTTAAAGATCATGCCAGGCATCACAAAAAAATCCAAAGAGAAATGTTTTCAAGGTTGTTCTACATATATATTTCTATAAATTTTTAAAGTATTTTAAAGGCCACGCTTATGTTAAAGATCATGCCAGGGTTTTAATGGCTTTGAGGCCAATTTTTCTTGCTAATTTACTGGAAATACATTGCAGATTCCTGTGACATAAAATAGAGAGCATCCACGAGGAAAATGAATTACTAAGAAGAAAAATGTTTATGAATAGTAGGCAGTATGAAAAAAAGATCATTTCTCCCCTCTGAGTTACTTCATCATTCTTAGAAATATTAATAACTTTCCTGTTTTTAAATGTAGCATGAGCTCATGTAGACAATATAGAAACATTTACATGTTAACAAGAATTGTCCATCATTTCCCAATATGGAAACAAAATGGTTATTGGTAAATTCTACTTGTATTTCTTCCTGTTGTTTTTATTAGGAATGCACTGAAAACTGTTGAGTACTAGAGAGAAGGCTCAGTGGTTAAAGTATTTGCTGCTCTAGCCTTGGACCTGGGTTATGGTCCCAGCACCCACATAGAACTCCAGTTCCAGGGAATCTGATGCCCTCTTCTGACCTCCGTGGGCACCAGGCACATACTTGGTTCACAGACGTATGTGTAGACAAAACACTCATACACATAAAATAAAAATAAATAAATCTTTAAAAATCTGTTGAATCGACTTTCTGTAATACTTATTTAAACCTTGAAACATGACCAAGTGGAATTCCCTGACATAAAATAAAGTATCCAATTTGTTTTTAACAGTTCTTTTGTAGTTCATTTGGATTGCTGCCATCACTTTTTGTTGTTTTTTTTTTTTTCTTTTTTTTTTTTGGTTTTTCGAGACAGGGTTTCTCTGTGTAGCTTTGCGCCTTTCCTGGGACTCACTTGGTAGCCCAGGCTGGCCTCGAACTCACAGAGATCCGCCTGGCTCTGCCTCCCGAGTGCTGGGATTAAAGGCGTGCGCCACCACTGCCCGGCTTTTTGTTGTTTTTGCTCACAAACCAAGAAGCTTTAAAATTTTTGTCTGAGTATAGATAATAAGGAGATGATTTCCTGGACAGAAGAATAGATCATTTTGAAGCTCCAGATCTGTATCACAACTTCACTTCTTGTGAGTTCTAACCTAATTTTTTATCAGCAGTTTCTATGGAATCTTATCACAGTCAATTTGTTCCACAAAACTGAATAATCAAAGAACATGAGTCATCTCTTCTTCCTCTCTCCATAGTCCTTTAGTAACAACTGCTATGCAGTTGACAGAGTAACTTCTAAACCGTTCTCTATATTAGGAAAATGAGAGAAATGGTGTCAGAAGGCAGCCCTGAGAGAGTGACAGCCATTTAAACACTTTAAGGACCAATACTTTCGCATTAAATTGAAGAGTTGAGTACTCTGGGACAGATTTATCTCAGTTCTTCTTCCCTGTCATAGCAAAAATGACAGGGAAGAAGAAAGGTCATGTGGTGGTTTGAATAGGAATGACCCCATAGGCTCTTACATTTGAATGGAATGCTTGGTCATTAGGGAGTCACTCTACTAGACAAGGATTAGGAGATGTGGCCTTGCTGGAGGAAGTGTGGTACTGGGGGTGGGCTTTGAGGTTTCAAATGCTCAAATCAAACTCAGGGTCTCTTTTTTCCTGCTGCCTGTGGATCCAAATGTAGAACTTGCAGCTCCTCCAGCACAATGTCTGCCTGCATGTAGCTATGTTCTGTCCATGATAATAATGGACTAAACCTTTGAAACTGGAAGCCAGGCCCAATTAAATGCTTTTCTTTATAAGAGTTGCCATGGTCATGGTGTCTCTTCCCAGAAATAGAACACTGGCTAAGATAGTATAAGAAGAATGAAGAGGGATTAATATGAGCCATACTATGTGGTTCTTGTATCTCATATGGCTATTAAATGTACAGAAAACTAACAAGGAAATTATGAGGGAAATGATGTCAAATATCAGCCCTTGTTTCCTGTTGGCTTGAGCTAAGTAGCTTTGGTTCAGTAAAGCAATGGGAGAAATCAATGACAACAACAGAAATAAGTCATTCTATCCTAGTGGGTAAAATAAAAGACTCAAAAGTGCGTGCTGTGCTTTCAGAGCTCAGGAGTCCACCATGAGTTTGTTTGGGTCAACAAATTACAGTAACCTACCAAATGAATAGGAACCTATCACTACCATATAGAAAAATCATAGTGTAAACACATCCTGAAGCCTGGATATCATCAAAATAGTTTCTATGCTTGGTTGACCTATTTAAAGCGACTCACTGGCACTTAAGAATGAGCTACATCGTTCACAAGAAATGTATGATTTCTCACACACTGCACCTTAAAACTGACAATGAGTTTTGTGGACTCATAAATGCATGACTCTTTTCTTTCTTTTTTTTTTTTTTTTGAACTTTTTTTTTTTTTTTTTTTGGTTTTTCGAGACAGGGTTTCTCTGTGTAGCTTTGCGCCTGTCCTGGAACTCACTTGGTAGCCCAGGCTGGCCTCGAACTCACAGAGATCCGCCTGGCTCTGCC